GGATCTTGAATCAATCTCTTTTAAGATATAAAAGGAGAGGGAAGTGGGCAGAGCTCACAGTGACACACAGCCACCAAGAGACAAGAGCCAGGAGTGGAGGGTGTCCTTTGCATCTGGGGCCCCTGCACTGGGAAGCGCCGAGATTCAGAGGAAGACTGAGGAAGCCAAGTTGCAAGGAGATCTTCAAGGAATGCTGAAGGGAGCCAAGACCCTTTCTCCAGAGCGGGCGCTCAGACTTTGGAAGTCTAGCCTCATCAGCTGTGAGAGACCACACTTCTGTTTGTGAAAGCCCCCCTCCCCCATGTGGTATTTCTGTTATAGCAGCTCTAGAGAACTACGGCACCCCCAGTACACAACACTCTGAAGAAAGGACGATTAGTAAGGACAGGTTACATGTGTGCTGTGGTTTATAAACAGTGTCCTAGTCGTTACCATCACCACACTCCCCATGTCTCTCTTTCATTCACTAGAGGATTCATTCCCAGAGGATCAGCTATGCTGCAAGCCCCCGGATGACTCAGTACATGGGCCCGCGAGAAAGGAGCGAACTCGGTTTCTGTGCTTGAGGGACTGCTGGTCCAGGGAAAAAGAGGGAGACAGAAGATTGTTGTTGTGTTATCGAGCTGGCTGTGACTTAGAGCACAACAGCACAAAAGCTGCCGGGTCGTATGCCTCCCAACCGTGTATGTTTCAGTTCATTGTCGCTGTCACTGTGCTAATCCATCTCATTGGAGGGGTCGTCCTCTCTTCTGCTACTGTGGACAGCATTATCCTATCACAGACAGCACAGTACTTCAAGAAAGGTCTTGAGATGCTTTTTTTGACAACAAATGTGACACCATTCCTCTTCAATTTGCCATTCGTGGCAAAATAAACCAAACGACTGTCAGATTCAAACCAACCAATACCACCAGTCCATTTCAGCTCACGAATGCCTACGGTATTGATCTTTCATTTTAATGGATGTTTGTAGCTGTTTATTCTCATTTTAAATTGTGCTCCATCAGCAAACAAAGGTCCTGAAAGCTTTGCTCTATCTTCGTTATTAATTTAAGGTCAACTCTATTTTGAGGAAGCAGTTCTTCTCCAGGTATATTTTTAAGTGTCTTCTAACTTGAGGGGCTCGCCTTCCAGCTCTCCATCTGACAACATTCTGCTGCTTTTCCTAGGGTTATCAGACACTAACCTTTCAAAAGTGATCCGTCTCTCCTTCTGCCCAGTCTTACTCTGGAAGATCTTGAAACCTGTCCACCATGGGTGACCCTGCTGGTATTTAAAATGCTGGTGACAGCTTCCAGCGTCACACAATCCTCCACAGTATGACAAACGGACAGATGAGCAGTGAAGGCAGAGGAGGACACGGATACAATTCGGGGCCTGAAGTGTCGGGTGGGGGTACATTCAGGAGGTGGTTCTAGGGGTCCAACAGCAGAAGAGCTGTCTTAGAGGAGATATTGTCAAATTCAGACCTCAGCAAAGCAGCGTTCTTTTGTCAGCCCCAGCTGAAGATCATGGCTGTGACCTCAAGGTTCTGGGGGGCACTGTAATGGGGAACAGGGCTGCTTCCTGAGTCCTTGTCACAGCCAATCAGACACATTCAGGACAAGGGGAAGGGAGGGAGGGCGGGGCAGGAGGACAGGGGCCAAACCGGGGTGGGACGGCAAAAACAACAACCCTCACTTAGTTTACACTCAGACTGCTTATAGGACCACCTCACAGACGGTCCAGGACTCCCACGGACCATGGCAAGTAGACCCGGGTTCAACTCCCGGCCAAGGCACCTTGTGCACAGAAACCACCCATCTGTCAGTAGAGGCGCAACAGATTTCAGTGGGGCTACCAGACTAAGAAAGACTAGGAAGAAAGGCCTGGCCATCTTCATCCAAAAGTTAGCCAGTTAAAGCCTTATGGATCAGAATGGCGCATTGCTCAATCCACAGCAGATCAGGGGGATGGTGGACGACTGGCCCACATTTTGTTGCGTGTGTGGGGTTACTGTGAGCTGGGATCAGCTTGACGACAACTCACACAAACAACAGCATGGACTCAGACCCACCTGAGCCCAACGTCTGGCCCATTAGCTGTCTCTTGAAGGCAACCTCCATCACCTGGAAAATGCAGCCCAAATACTGCCCAGATGCAGTTCGGGTGGCAGCCTTCGCGGACCGGGAGCTGGTGTCACCAGAACAGAACCGAGCCCAAGCCCAGCTCCTCCTTCTACAGAATCACCGCAGGAGGGACCACCACCCACCTGAGCCCGTGGTCCCACCGCCCGTGGGAGAGGCCAAACACACCCACTTTACAGAAGCAGAATCAGGCTCAGAGCAACACAGCCAGAGGTCCAAAGTTGCACAGCGGTACACAGTTGGTTCTGATACAGTCTGCCTCCAAATCTGGGGTTCTGTCTCTGCTTCCCTGAAGTTCAAGGGTTAAATATACCCTGTTTTACTGCCCTTCACTTCTGGTACCTCACACATCTCGAAGTTTTTTATTTTATTTTATTTTACAAACTCAAGGCTTATGGCAAACCTGCATCGAGCAAATCAATGGCCTTCGTTTTTCTAACACCTTGTATTTCTGTATTCTCTGTAACTCTCCAAACACTTCAAACATTTTCACCATGCTAGTCTAGTGTAAATGGAGTCCTGGTGTGGCGCTGTGAGCTAATGCTTCAGACTGCAAAGTCGTTTGAACTGCAAGGTCGATGGTTCAAGCTCACCAGCTGCTCCTTGTAAACCCAATACAGGGTTGTTATGAGTCACAATGGACTCCACAGCACTTAACAACTTAACAAGTCTAGTGTAAACCTGACTTTTATATGCAAAGGGAAATCAACAAGTGTGTGCTACTCGCCAGCTGGCAATAAGCCACTTACTGACCAGAACCTTCCAGAAGTCTAGTTCTAAACTAGACTCACACAGCATCACAGATCCTACACAGAGGACTATAGCTCTAAGGATCCTACCTTGTGAAAAGGTAACCTACACAGCTTCTGAAAGATTACCCAGCAAAAACTGGAGGCTGCAGACCACCTCCCATCTTTCCTGGGGCTGGGACTAAACTGGAGAACTCAGAGTCGGCACATGGAGACTGGTGGTAACATCCGGTCCCTGAGTCCAGCCGCACCGAACGCCAGCTGATTCAGCCTTGTGTGCCCTGCTGTGGGCATGGGCCCGGCACTGAGCAGGCATTCAAAACGTGCCTGGGATGCCAAGCCTAGAGGCTAGGAGCACATTCCATTTGAAGAACTAGCTCTTCCTTCTTTCTCCCCCTTTCTTTTTCCTCCAACTATAATTTTCTCATAGAAACAGATGTAGCCCTTTTCCTCCTACGTGAGAACATCTTGTTCAGAAGGAACCAGAAGAAAAGGTTACAAAAAGGTTCCTGGGTGGTTGAAATGGTTTCTGCTCACCTACAAATCTAAAGGCTGCTGGTTCAAACCTACCCAGCAGCCCACATCTGAAAGGCCTGGAGATAGCCTTTTGTAAAGATTACAGCTAAGATTCCTCCTCGTCTTGACCTCATGTGTGACAGAGAAGAACTGAGCTCCACAGGATGCTGAATCAACTCCAAGGTAAACAGCTTCAGCTCGTCTACAGATTACAAATCCAGCAATTTCTCTGGGGGCTACGTGGTTTCATGTGGCTATGTTCACACAAAAACCTGTACATGAGTATTTATAGCAGTTCCATGCACTCGACCCACAAGGTGGTTCAAATTCACCAGTCGCTCCTCGGAAACCCTACACAAGGTTGCTATGAGTTGAAATCCACTCGACAGCACTTAACAAAAGCAACAATAATTGCCCCAAACTAAAAGCAACCAAGATGTCCTCCAATCGGCAAATGGTAAACAAACTGTGGCATGGCTACACAATGGAATATGATTCAGTGATCAAAACAAATACACCATCAAACCACAACAAGAGACAAAAAAAGGTGGAACACATCTGCTGAAATGCAGACATCGCTCTGAAAAAGACTGTATGTGGTGATGGTCTGGACAAGGCCAAACGATGGAGACACCAACACCAGGAGTGGACGTAGGGGGACCGGGGCACAGGAGGGAAAACAGGATGATCAGGTGGCGCCCAGGGCATTTCAGGACAGTGACACTGTTCTGTATGACACTGTTGTGATGGACACATGCCATTATGCATGTCAGAAGCTGTGCAAACACATAAAACTGCACATGCATCTGACGCAACTCTCAGAGCCCAGCAAACCAGACAACACAACCTAGTGTGAACAGTGGGAGTGAGCTAGTAATAACGTACTGATACTGGCTTCTCAAAGATGCCCTCGTGGCTTAGTAGTTAATCGTTGAACTGCTAACCGCAAAGTTGGCAGTTCAAACCCACAGGAGCCCGGGGAGGCTGTCTGCTCCCATAGGATTTATAGTCTTGGGAACTCGAGGAGCAATCCTACTCTGTCCTACAGGATCACTACGCATTCGACTTGGCTTCCTGGTAGTGGGTTTGGTTTTGGCTTAGTTTATGGGCTTTTCAATGATACCAATGTCCCCACTGCTGAGAGATATTAATAACTGGGGGAGTCTCAGAGGGCAGGCAGGGGTACATGGTATTCTTTATACTTTCTGTCCATTCTCCTGAAAGCCTAAAATTGCTCCAAAAACATTAAGTGTTTAAAAAAGGAACAGGACCGACATAAAACTACAGGTTTACCTCAGAAAAAGAGGCCACCCAAGGTTCTTCCCGAGTCCCTGGCTTTACAAGGTCCAAACCAGACTCACTGCCACTGAATCGATCTGAACTCATTGTGACCCTACACAACAGAACACAACTGCTCCACAGGGTTTCCAAGGAATTGTTCCAGAGCCTTGTTTTGTCTCATGGAGCAGCTCGTGGGTTCGAACTATCGACCTTGGGTCGATCAAGCATTAAGCCATGGCTTCCTTAGGGCTCGGATCCCACCCTCAGGACCAGAGGAATCCCCAAGGGTCTCGGCTCCTCCAAGTGGTAACCAAGTAACTGATCTTACCGAATGGTGGGCTGGTCCCCGCTCAGCTGCTTAAACCTCCGATGAAGTTGCTCAATCTGGTCTGATGAAACTGAGAAATAGAAGAAAGAAGAACATAAACTTGAGGCTATCACAGAGAGAGACCTTAGGAGTCCTTCTGCCATCCCTTCCTTCCTACCATAAATCCTCAACCCCACTGTTTCAATCATTCCCGCGGCATCACCCACGACAGCACGATGGAGCTCTGAGTGAAAAAGCAAAAGGGTTTCCCATCACTTCTGAGTAATTATTCCCGACTCCTTTGGCAGTAGCTCAACTATTACTAATAAAGGCAGCTGTGGAGACGGGGCAAATGTGAGGCAGCCTGCATCTCTTCACCTTTCTCCTGCCTGTGCCCACTACGGGTCATCTTCTATCTCTTGTGTGACTTTCCCAGCTCTCATCCCGTTATAAAGATGGAGATATCTGCAGTGCAGGAAAAGGTTTTTCATAGTCACCTACTGAGAGAAGGGCAAAAAAAGAAGGGGAGAGACGTGGTGGGCGCTGGGGTGGGGAATGATGTGGGAGATCTGGGGAAGGAACGTCCAGAGAGTGAGGAAGTGAAGGAAAAGATTGGAAGTTCAATCACAGTTGCTACAGATTATGTATCAGAGTGCCCTGTGAGGCTTAGAGAATCGAGGTGCAGGAATCTGTTTCTAATGTTGATGGCTGGGGACTGTTTCTTCCAGGGCCACTTCAAGACCAGACTGTGTGGGCTCCAGGTTTTATAAGGGTTACAACCACACATGAACGTGTATCATAAGCAGTATACTCAACACTTCTATGTATCTTCTTCCTCCATCCTCAAAACAGCTCTGTGTAACAGAGGATCCTGGGACCATCAAGGGAGAAGAGCATGAGTAGAGAAGCAGGGACACCAGAGATGGAGGCAGAGATGGGGACAAGGAGAGAGGGAATAGCTGAGGACTCTAGATTCATGGGAAGAGAGGGACTGAGAGCTGGCCAGGAGGTAGGCTTGCAGAATGTGCCCTTTGGTGGTTTAAATTAATATATATATATATATATATATATATATATATATATATATATATATATATATATATATGTATATATATATGCCTGAGTGCTTAAAACAAACAAAAAAACAGTTAAAATGAATAGAAACACTGTTAACTGATGGTACATGGAGGGGATTATAATCACTGGAATGAAACAAAGTATGATTTGTGAAATATAAAACAAATGATCTGCCCTGTAAACTTTCTCTTATTCACAATAAAAACTTTTAAAAAATTTAAAAAGGGCACATAGGGAGGTGATACTGCTGAGACTTGACCCTTGGTCCTAAGTCCATGAGACTACCAAAGCTGGCCCTTAGCTGCTATCAACACTGCCCATTTGTCCTGGTGCTCAAGATGTCTACATCTGATTCTCGGAGATGACAGCCAGTTTAGACAAATGCTCAAAACCAGCCACTGGACTTGCCAACTCCCTCAGCATTTCCCAGCCCAGCGGCAGCTGTGTTTCCCTTGCTATTCCATCCACTGCCATTCCGTGGATTCCAACTCACGCTGGCCCTGTAGGGTTTCCAAGCAGAACTGGCCCGAGAGGGTTTCCAAGGCAATCCATCTTTACAGGGGCAGACTGCCACGTCTTTCTCCTGTGAGCAGCTGGTGGACCTGAACCGCCAACCTTGTGGTTAGCAGCCCAACACTTGTTATTTGTTGTTAAGCGCCATCGAGTTGGTTCTGACTCACAGCAACCCGGTTGGTGGGTTTGAACTGCTGATTTTCTGGTTAGCAGTCCAATACTCATCCTTCAGGGCTACCAGGAGACAACTCTTGCTACATTGTTGCTATTAAGTGTTGTCAAGTCTGTTCTCATAGCAACCCTGTATAGGGTTTCCAGTGAGTGGACGGTGGGTTTGAAGCACTGACGTTTCAGTTCAAACGGACCCTGCAGTCCAGTGCTTATCCTACAGTGCCATAGCAGGACTCCTGTAACCATAAAAAAAATGTTTCATTTAGCAAGAAAATCTTTTCTTAACTTTTTACAACAGTGGTCTCATACAGTATTTGTTCTTTGGGGATGGAGTAATTTCACCCAGCTTCATGTTCTGCAGATTCATCCACGTTGTGATGTGTTTTACAGATTCACCATTATTCTTCAATGTTGCATCATATTCCATTGCGGGATTGTACCAGTATTTCTACTTTCAACTTCTGGAGATAGCGTCATTAACAGTGTTTGCACCGTTTTACAGACCCACCAACCAGCAGGGTAAGTGGGGCCCAGTCACTCCACACCCTTGCCAGCATTTACTGTTTTCTGTTTCATTTTTGGTTTGTGTTTTTAACTTTGCTACGAATGCTGTTCACCTCTCTTTGGAATGAGCACAAATATGGATCTCTTCCAGTCAGTTGGCCAGGTAGTTGTCTTCCCAATTTCTTGGCATAGATGAGTGAGTGCCTCTAGTGCTGCGTCAGTTTGTTGAAAGATTTCAATTTGTATTCCATCAATTCCCGGAACTTTGTTCTTTGCCAATGGCTTCATTGCACCTTGGACTTCTTCCTTCTGTATCATTTGGCTCTTGATCATATGCTACCCTGTGAAATGGGTGAGTATCAACCATGTAATTTTTTTGAGTTTGACAATTTACTGGTATTTTCAGTAAAGACATTCATTTCAGTCATTTCTCTCTTCCATCTTGACCTTAGCTTAATAATTCATTTGGGTCAAGAAAATCATATGCAAAAGAGGGATAGTTACTATCTTAACATAAGCAGGAAAATGAACAATATTGGAAAGTTTGCTTACATTAAAGGAAGATAAAGTGAAATTCATATATCTTAACATCAGTGAGTTATTTTAAGTAAGAACTAACACTTCTATACACGTTTCCACTCTTTTACTTGGGACTTATTCTACATTTAAATGCAAGTGAACAAAGCATTAGGACTATACTAACATATTACTATATATAAGCAGGCTGCTTCTCAGAGTTATTACCTAGTCAAAGAGCTCAGTGAGCAGTTACCACCAATACAATAGTCTGAAGCGTCCTCCACAGTCAACATTACAGGAATTTTCAAGGAAATTCACTGTATTTTATGTTTCTTTTGTTTGTGATGATGCTTTTAACGACGTGTCTGTCACATTAAGAGAAAAAGTTTATGAACAATACAAAAACAGTAAAAACAAAGACTACCCCAAACCCCAAATAACACACAAAACAAAGTATATGGTCAGAGATTCCCTGACATGCTTGAAGATGCATTTTCTCTCCTTCTATTTTCAATATCTAAAATGTGCTTTTAAGAGGCTATTGGTCAATACTTATATTCTATTAAGTAAATGGAGTCCTGGTGTAGCACTGTGGGTCAATGCCTCAGACTGCAAAGCTATTTGAACTGCAAGGTCAGCGGTTCAAGCTCACCAGTGAGTCACTCCTCGGAAACCCTATACAGGGTCGCTATGGGTCGGAACCGACTCGACCGCACTTAACAACAACAACAACAACATTCCAATTGGATTCCACAAATTAGTAACTTAAATGCATTGACAAAGCACAGAAAGCGCCATCTTCTCATTCATACAATTATTATTTTCTTTTTTGGGTGTTCAAACCTTTCAAAAAATGAAAGTAACCAAATATTGAAGCAGTTACGTAAATTAACATTTTGGTGGTGATCTGTATTACAAAAGAAACAGCTTCCTCAAGTTCTGGTGGAAGTGCTTTTAGAACTAGTTAATAACAGAAACCAAGAGAAGCCCATTCAAAATACTCATTTTTACTTTGGTAACAAATGGTTGTTCTTTGAAGACTACTTAAGGTAGGCATGAGGCATGACCAGTTAAGGTGAAGTGAACAATTTCAAATATTCAAACAATTTACACAAATAATTTTTTTTAAATGGCTAAAGAGCTAAGCATCCATATCTACTGATAGCAATGCAAAAACTATCCAATGACTTCAAGCATCAAAAAAACAAAATGCCCATTAGAACAAAAAGCAGTGTTTTATCTATATTTACTTTCAACAAGAGTCCAATAACATTTTTGCTCTCAGTACAGTACACAGTACTCCCTTTTCTACAAGGCTGTTCCTGGGAGCCAGTCAATTTATATAATAAGGGAGTTAAGTTAGTAATTGCTTGCATTTTAAACCAGTTTAGATAGACAATAACTTTTTGCTTCCCTCTTAATGTGTTAATAGTTGTGCCTAAAAAAAAATACACCAATTCTTAGAAATGCTTGTAATCTCTATCTAAAACAGAAATTATCTCAAATTTCAAAGTCTCATCCATTAGTGCACCACTCCATCTTTAAGGGGGAAAAAAAGCGGCTCCTAAGATAGTCTCACACCATTCTTTAAATAGGAAACTGCTCCTTCTAACTTTACACCCACCTCACAGCCAATCATAAACCACATCATTTAATTGTCTTGGTCACGAACCTTTCCAAGACAAGATCTTATATTTCGCTCCCAAAGCTTCTGGTTATCAGAAAACCCATGCTTTCCTTTGTTGAAGGAGTTTGGTCTTGCTGATGTTGGAATATCCCTTCCAACATTCTTCATCCTCATTTTCGCTTCTGGAAGCATTTCTTCTGGTTCACTATCTTGATCTTCATTAAAAAGTCACTGTTACTGAAAGGGGTTTTGGAGCAAGAGTTGGAACTGTTTCTTTAGGCTTACTTGATCCAAGTTGAATGGACATGGCCGATGCTTTCTTTGCCATCTACCTACGGCAAATCCAAACTTGGAGCCTGCTGTAGGCTTCATTGGGAAGTCTTCAGCTTCTTCAGCTGATGGCTTCTCGGCGCTGCAATGGCAACATTTCCCTCCATTACTGGAACAAACACCTTACTTTTCACAGGTCTTTCTGCTTCTTCTTCAGGTACTCCAGCAGCTCCAGCTCACTGAGGATTCTGTAGCTTCTCCTCTCCCATCTTCCCATCCACCATTTTCCCTGTGACGGTCTCTCCTCTCGACCATTTCTTATTGGTACAGTGGCATTTAATATCAATAACGTCTAACGATCGTGAGCATTTCTTCACATGTTTGTTGGCCACCTGAATGTTTTCTTTGGT